GGCCACAAGAACGTCAAGTCGTCGGCGTTGTACTCGGTTTTGAACGACAGCATCGTGGACGATGGCGGCGCCAAGCACGACCTCCTGCAACACGTCGTGCTGCAGCGCGTGCTGGACGTCAAGTGGGAGCTGTTCGGCGCCCGCAAGTACTACCAGCACCTGCTCATGCACGTCCTCATGCTCGGCGCCATGACCATGATCGTCTCGACGCAGTTCATTCTGAAAGCGATCTCCAAGATCGCAGACGCGTTTTACGAAGCCACAGCGGCCAACGACACGACCAAGGCAGACGAGCTCTACGCCGAGTACGCCAAGAAGGTTGGTCTCCAGTCAAGTGCCGTTGTCTGGCTCTTCTCGGTCGTGTTTTGCCTCGTTGGCTTTGTGCACCTTCGCCAGCTCAAGCCCGAGCGCTTCCTCAAGCTCACGCGCTGGATGTACGACGGCAAAAATGTGCTCGACCCACATTTTGTCATTCCGCACGTTGCCAAGTACAAGCAGAAGGTGCGCGCGTGGCTTCTCAAACGCACGATTCTCTGGACGTTCGTGATTGCGGTACCGCTGCTCGTTGTGACGTGCACGCTCGACGACGAGGGGCAGTTTGCCGTGCTGCAGTGCCAGTCGTACGCTGCCTTTGGCATCCTCCTCATCACGGCCGTGTACTTTCTCGTGCTCGAGTACCTCGAGCTCCTCGGCGAAGATCCGTGGATTTTCGAGCGCATCGAAGGCGCCAATGTCCTCGGCAAGCTCTTCTGGTCGTTTGTGCTTGTGTTTCTGCTGCCGTTCATCGTGCCCTTCAAGGCCTCGTACCGCAAGTACTTTGCGTCGTTCAACAACAAGCTCCAGATCACGACGTACCTCTGCATGCTCGGCCCGTTTGCTTGGACGCACGCAGCCCTGCATATCTTCGACTACCCAGCGTACGAGACGGCCGAGGTGATTGAGAACATCTACCTCTGCCTCGGCGCCTTCATCATTTTGAGCCTCTGGATGCTTTCGCTTCAGTACCTCGAGGTCAACAAGACCGCCGGGTACCTCCTCCCGATCGTCAAGGACGTCATGGGCGACGTGTGGGACTTTCTCATCTTCTACGGCGTCTTCCAGTGCGGCCTCACGTGCGCGTATTACTTTATCTTTCAGCAAAAGTCCGACAGCTACAAGACGCTCTGGGCCAGCTTTCGCGCGTCGTATTTTGTCATGTACGGCGAGAACGGCGTCGGCGACTTCAACGCCAAGGGCGACGACAAGAAGCACCTGCTTCAAGGGCCGATCATGCACTTTGGCTTCATTCTGCGCATGTTCCATTGCGCGGTCATGGTTGTGCTCCTTCTCAACTTGCTTTTGGCCATGATGAACAAGACCGTCGATCGCAACTGGGCCAAGCTGCAGTCGCGGGCGTTGGCGAGCTACGCGCGGTGCGTGCTGCGCCTCGAGACGATGCTCGGGCTCACGGAGGCCGACCGCGACGCGTTGAACCGGATAGTTTTCCAAAATCAATGGTGCGGCGAGCGCACACCGTTGGTCGGCAGTAACCAGCCAGCGCTCAACCCGATCTTCACCGAGCCCGTGCTCAAGCAGTGCTTGACGGCAAGCGCGCCCATCGGCGATCGTGATGCAATGCAGGAAGCCAAGGTTGCAGACGCAACTCTGCGGAGCGCGGCCGCGGTCAAGCAACTGCAGGCGGCGATGACGGACATTGACGCCAAGCTTGAGGCCCTGAGCACCGCCTTGCAGCAAACATCGGCTTTGCAACGAGAGCTCCCAACAAAGATGTGAATACACGTTACGGTTGTGAAACGTTCACTTTCTTGTTTCGTGGTGTTGCCACGTATTGGTTATCATTTCCGTGGATTGGACCACACCAAGTCCCACTCGTTGGCCGTCAAGGTCTCTCGTCGATCGTCGACCAAGGCGCGTCACTTTCGCGTGCTCGAGGGCTGCGTGCGCGTCATCGACCTCTTCGTCAACATTTCCTCGATCGTCACGTCGCTCTTTGACCTCATCAGGCGGCTTTCGCCGAACCAGCTTGCAGTCGTTCCATGCCGCCACCGCCTGGTGGCCGTCGGTCTCGCGCGACGTTTCGACGCTTGGCGGTGGTGCGCTGCCACTCTGATTTCATCCAAAATAGCACAGTGAAAGCGCAATAGGATGGTGCAACTTTCACAACGGCGAGCTTGCTCAGGGGCAAAGGGCGTATTACTTACTGGCAGGACCTCGGACGAGATGCAGCGAGCTGCTTAGCAGGAGTCGAGCTTCAGAATGCTAGCTCTACGACGGCTCGCAAGATACGCCAGGAGGTTGGTCGTTCCGCACACAAAGCACCTATAGCTAGCTAGCTATTGGTTGTGGCACTGCGGCTCACGGAACCACTACAAATTGGAAAGCCTAAGGGATGTATTGGTGCCTAATTGCTCAATGGTTAGCTAGGTAGGTTAGCTGCTAGTATTCCCTTGGGACTAGACGACGGTTCGTGAGACGCGCCTTCGGGGGCTTGTCCGTTTCGTCTGGAAAAGGCGCCAAATGTTTGCAGCCAATCCCGTCTTGGCACCAAGACTGGGTCCATGCTATGCCAGTATCCAACGCTAGCGATGCACGACCACGTGATTCCGTCGCCGGTATTGGTTGGCCCTACGGAGTCTTCGGCGCAGAATGTGCGTCACGTACCCAGGGCGACGTGGAGTACTACGAGGAACCAAGTTGCCGAGGCCGCTCTCGGGCTTTCTTACCTTGTTATTTCGCTGGCATGCGGCGTCTGGTACGTCTACACGCTTCAGCCGAGCTTCGTCAACGACCTTTGGTGGGCCGGCTTCAACCTCACGGGTCACGAAGCCTTCCTCATCGACCTTGTCAACGCCGTTCTCTCCACGACCGCCGCGACCTCACTCAGCATCTACGCACCAAGTGCGATGGTTCAAAAGACGTATGCATCCGGTGTCTCGTACACCAACGTCCCGCCCACGTACGCTCGCCACGTCATCTTCAACGAGCTCACGTCGATCGAGTACGCTGTACCGCAGTTACGTCGCCTGAGCGCGAGCTGGTCGATGCGCGTCAACGTTCAGCACTGCTGGGTGGACTTTGCGCGATCGTTTGAGGTCGCGCACACAATGAAGCGGCAGCAGCGCTGCCGTGAGCACTACGCGTCGAACGCGGGCGTGTACATGGAAGCGATTCTGCGCAATGTCGTGTGGGCCGACTACCTATCCATTTGGGGCGGCGACAATGCGCCATTTACCGTGGCCATCCAGCTGCCACTGCAAGAGACGCTGCATGGTCGTGCCTTCCTGGACACGATGGCAACGGCGCGAGCAACGACGACGATCGATGCGGAGCTCGCGTACTGGCAGACGTTTGGCTTGGCGTCGTTCACGGCGCAGTGGCAAAACCGGTGGCAAGCTGGCGTCACCGAGTCGATCGAAATGGAAAACGCGCTGGGCCTGCGCCAGCTCGTGACGGTCAAGAACTTGCCGCGGGGCGCCGGGCCGTGGACGTCCAATAACTTTCTCTGGATCCCGCTCAACGACCTCTGGAATGGTCAAGGCATGGGTCGAAGCATGATTTGTGGTACTTTGACGTACTTTAGCGCCAACGTCAGTGCATCCATGCCAGCCATCGATCTCGAGGTCTTCAAAGGCACCACCAACGTCAGCGGCAACTTTGTGCGCAACCACATTGGGCCTTTTCTCAGCATCGACTCGATCTATGTTGCTGTGCCTGCAGCGCTGGCAACGACGTGCACTGTGTTTCTCGATGCGATGTTTGGTCAACTGGACGCACGCCGCTTTACCCAGCTCACCACGATTACGACGACCACCCTCGCGCCGCTGCCGCCAGCGTGGCAAAATGCGTCCGTGTATTATGGCGGGAGCCCCATGTGCACGCGGCAGTCCGGGACGTTGTTTCCGCAGCAGTCGTTTGGCTTCTTCGACGACTGCTCCAAAGCGTTGCCGCTGCAAGTCACGGTAACGGCGAGTGCCAGTCTCTTTGCGCTACTCGCTACTGCCGAGACAGTACCGAGGGCCTGAGCGACGGCGACACCGACGACCGACTGCCTCTCCAGCCTTTCGGCGGTCGGCAATCTCCTCCAGCAGCTGGCGTTTTCAACCGACTTCATTGCTAGCGTCCTTCGTGCAGCGACGGCCGTTCAAGAGGCTCGTGTCGGTCTCATGCAATTCGCAACGTCGACCAATGGCGCATATCTTCTGCTCCGGCAACCGCTTCTCGAGGCTTCGACCTTTGATTTTTTCGGCTGGATCTTGCTCTTCGACTGGGTCGCGGGTAGTTGCGAAGTCGTGTCGTTTCAAGGAGATGCTGGCAATGTCACGCTTATTTCGAATGCCTATAGTCCGCAGCTGTACTCGACGGGGACGCAGCCACTCCAGACAGCAACCAAAATCCTCTTCTACCTCATCGTCGCAACGTCGGCGGTGCTCGTCTTCGTCGGTTTCTTGTCGCTTGGCTACGCGGGTCTCGTACGCCTACGCTTTTTGGGCCGCAACCTCTTGTTTTTCAACCGAATTGTCGGAGCTGTCTGGATCGGTCGACCCCTTGCCTTCCTCCGGGGCGTCACCGCCATCTTGCTGCTGAGCTCAGCCAACGCATCGCTTGAGACGCATCATGGGTACTCGCGCTTCGCGGCATCGCCTCGTCCATGGCTGGCGTCGCTCATCATTACCGGCGAGGCGACGTGGGTGACCTATGTGATCAATGAGACGCTTTTGGTTCTGACGCGAGATGCGACGACGTTCTACAGCCCGCTCACGAGCTGTCTCTCGTGGTTGATTCTCTTTTGTATCGAGCTATCAAGTCCCGTTAGCGTAACGGCGACGCTAGCGCGGACGTGCGTTGGCACCGACATGGACTTTGCCCTCTCGTGCTCCAGCGGCGTCGTAGCTGTTGGGAGCTTGACTCGCGTCTGGGCGCTCGTCGTTATCCAAGCTGGTGTCGCCATGGTGAGTTTCGCGCTGTGCTCCATTGTGCATCGGCGCTGGTTCCGGCGCCCAGCACGTCGGTGCGACGATTCGTTGCTCGTGTCCGGCATTGCGCACTTGTTTCTGTGCACGCACGCTACGAGCTCAGAAGAAGTATACACGATCGACCACGTCGCGTGCATTCTCAGCGGCCTCGTCCCACTTCGAGTTGGCAAGCAAGCGTACACATTCGACTTGAAGCTGTGGCTTATCTTGGTCGACGACCTCTCGACAAGCTCATTCCTCAAGATGCTTCCATGTCCTTCCTTGGCGTTTCATAGCCACGTCCCTCGCCGCGCCTCAACGCTCAGCAACATCTCACACGTCTCGCCAAGCCGTCTGCAGTCCGCACTGCTCAAACGAGCCTCCATGTTTGTGCCTGACGCTGCCAAGAAGGCTCGGGTCGCGCACGTTTGGATGGTCCTTGGCCTCGGCTATATCATTGCCTCAATTTTTGGCAGCATCTCGTATCTCCAGGTATCGAGAATCAACCTCTCGAACGACCTCTTCTGGGCCACCTTCAACACGACCGGCGCACATGCGTTTATCGCCAACTGGCTCAACGAGCAGCTCGTACTTGGCAACACGACAATGCCCAACCTCGCTTTGGACAAGCCGAGCGCAATGCAGTCGTTTGCGGCCCCCGAAGCCGTCGTCTTGTCATCGGTCAGCTACGGCGCCTATCTACAGCACGAGCCTCTGAGCGGCATCACCGCCACCATCCGAGGTCTTCGGGTCACGGATGCGTGTCAAGCACCGTGGATCTTCTCACCATATTGCTTTGTCGACTTTACCCGAACGTGGTCATTGGCCAACTCTGCTCGGCGCGAAACCCGGTGTCAGTCGATGACGACCAATGGCGCGATATACCTCGAGTCGGTTGTGCGCAACATCAACTACGACGCGTTTGACGCATGCTGGGGACCCTCGTTTGAGATCGCGATCGCGTCCGAGCTCCGACGGTCCGATGCTGGCCGAGCGTGGCTTGACATCTCCACGGCTGTCAGCGCCGCGCTGTCTATCGCGGACGAAGCGCTATATTGGCGCCAACATGGCATTCAGCATTACAAGGTGCAGTGGCAAAACTACAAGCGCCTCGGCGTCCTCAACAGCTACTCGATCATCAATGCGTACGGCATTGCGTATCCGCTGACGCTAACGTCGCAAAACGGGACGTACTGTTTGGCGAGCCAGACGAGTTTCAAAATGTACTGGGCCTTCGCCAACGACTTGACGGCAGTTGCAGACAACTCGTCGCGTATCGCTGGTCGCAGCTTGGTCTGTTCTAGCCCCGACTTTGCTTTTGCCAACACAACGCTGGGTGCGGTACTTGTGCTGAACGGTGCCCTCACATCGCCTCTCACCGCTGGCTTCCAGCTCGTGCAGGCGCTCCTGGGGCCCTACGGGTCCATCGACATGGTGTACGTTCCCGTGCCAGCGTCAGTGCGCACTCTTTTCGCCGTGCTCGTCGATGCTTCGCGCGCGCCTCTCTCCAAGAACGTCAAGGCCCAAGCTCTCTACAGCGGCATCGCGACGCTGGACGCATCTTACCCCGTACCAGGGAAGTGGCTGGCACAGAACCTCGTTACTTTTGGCGGCTCTCCGTTGTGCCCCCCCAATTGCGTCGCGATACGCCATGTCCGTCGGCCTTGTGAATGTCATCTCATTTGACGCTACCTGTCTCCTATCGTCTGGTGTCTTGTTGAAGACACTGCCGTCGCGCCAGCAGTACATTCTTGCGGCCCTCCTTGCCGGTCTCCACCTCCGACCTTCGGGGTGGGACATGAGCGCAGTGTGCGCCCACGAGCCAACATTTGTTTCCAAATGTCCGAGATATCTACGCCAAACGCTGAGCTACGTCGATACGTTCATGCTACCGCTGCCATCGACCGTTGCGTCGTCGTTAACGAGTGTCAACGCGGACGTGCGGGCCATGGAGATTGAATTTATGATCTACACCAACGTGAACGCGACCGCACCCCTTTCTGTTCAGCGCATCAACCTTCTCGACGCCACCGAATCGGACTTTGCCTTTTTCGCGTGGCTCTACCTGTACGACTGGGTGCTCGGCAACCGCGAAGTCATTTCGTTTCAAGGCGACGCCGGCAATATGACGCTCCTCTCGGACTTTGCGTCGCCACTCGCCGAGTTGACACAAGAATGGCAGGTGACCGCCAACGTCGCCCAATACCTGCACGCAGGTGTCATCTACGTCACGGGCGTCATGATTGCGGTTGCTTTCATGTCCGCCATGTATATGCTGACAAGTTGTGGTCACTACGAAGGCCTCAACATGCTCGAGCTCGGTCGCGTCGGTGGCATTGTCTGGGTTGGGCGGCCGCTCTTGGTGCTTCGAAGTATGACTGCTATCTGTGTTCTCTCGACGGCGACGCTGGAGCTCCAGTTCTCGGGTTATATGAGTGCCTTTTCGACCATGCGCGATCCGTGGTACAAGACACTCCTCGCCGCCAACGAAGTCACGTGGCTCGTCTCGATTGTCAACGACATCTCGTTGGTCGTTACGCAAGAGTACTCGACGTACTACGTTATGGTCAACGGCCTCGTCGTCTGGGCCCTCGTCGCAACACTTACGGCCGTCTTGCCCGTTGACGCGAACACGTCGATCGACCTCCAATGTACTCTGCAAGTGGACTTTCAAGCCATATGTACCTCGGGCTCAATCGAGATTGGTCAGTTTGCGCGACTCCAACTACTCATCGGCATCATCCTCGTCTGCAACATTGTGTGCTTTTACATGGTGAAACTCAGTCTCAAAGCAAAGCCCACTTGCCATGTTACGTCGCTCTTACTTTCATCGGGCGCCAAGTACCTGTACGCTCACAGCGACCGCGTCTACAACGGCGTGTACTACCTCGACCGCGCATCGGCGGCTTGAATGGTATTCTGAGCCTCCGCATCGGGCGCACCATGTACAGCCTGGACATGAAGAACTGGCGCACACTATGCCTCGAGATACCGCTGGTGTCGGAAGTGCCGCGGACGCACGCCATGGCGACAGCCTTTGATGCCGCGTACCCGCTCTTGGATTGATTTTGTACAGATATATTTTTCAACAACGAAACACAATTCGCTCACAACTTCTGACGCCTCGTTGTTGCTCAATAGCCACACAGCCCGGGTTCTGAGAACCCAGGCGGCCCAGCATAGCAGAGAGATCTGCCATATAGTTGTCCGAGGCCCTTCTTGCGTCCGCACCCCACCAATACAGGACATTGGTCCACCAGAGCGCTTGCAAAGACCGTTGTGTGCCTCATGCAGCATGCAATGGCTACGGGCTACTAGTACGTCGTCGAGGACCGATGGCACTCCGAGCACTGGGTCATGGAAGCTGTCGTGGATAAGGTGCTGGCGTCGGTGTTGCTGGTCGCAACCATCGGTGCCGTACCGGAAGAAACCATTACTTCCACGTTGGCCGTCTATGATAATGTGAGCTATATAGTCGATGCATATCCATAGAATAGTCGATGCGCCGGAGTCAAACGCCGACAACCTCAGGTGCAAAAATAAGGGTCGGAACGATGGGTCTGGCGATCCGGACAAAATCCGGATACCCACATTGCATTTCTGAAATTCTGAGATGGCGGCCACAACGAATCCGGCGCTGCTGCAGTACGAGCAGCACGAGCGCCACGTCATGATCAGAGACCACTGGCGATGCGGCAGATGGAGCAGAAAAAGCTGCGCGTCGAGCTCGGAGCCCGCTCCGGCGGCACCAAACCTCATGCTTCCAGCCTTGAGCACCTCGCGGCGGCTGGTGGCGCAGCGAAATCATGCACCGTCCGCTCTCGCCCAACGTCGCCGTACACCCAATCTCTGCTGTAGGTTCCGACGCCCGCGCCATCTTCTTTCAGATGCTTCCGACCTTGCTGGTGTAGGAAGCTCTCTGGACTTGACCTGACCTACGCACTTGGTCAGCGCTCGCCTTGGCCGTCTGGTTGAGCCCGACGACTCGCACTCTTGGCGCTCACCAAGATTCTCGCGCCCGAGTCCGCCACGTCATCGCGATCGTGTCGACGACTTCGTTGGTCAAGGTGTCGGTGGGCGCTCGCTCGGTCTGGCGCGAGGTTCTTTGCGGTCCAACTACAGAGTCTGCGGTGTAGCTACACATATCGATGAGATTCGATGGCCGTCCCGAACGTCGTCCATGGCAGCTGTCCATGGAGTTCTTCCACTCGACTAACTTGGTCAAACTTGCGACTCTCGGACGCTGCCATCAAAGGCGCCAACCGCACGGCGCAGCGCATCGTCAAGCGCATGGCCAAGATCGCCCCAAAGCGTGTGCACTTGGGCTCGTCCGTGCCGCCGATTTTTGAGCTCGTCAAGAGCCCCAACATCAGCATCAAGCTCGGTGCCGAACGCGCGCTCTTGTACGTGCTCGAGGTTGCGACGCGCCCCGAGACGCTCACGGCAACCTGGCAAGCGCTGAGCAAGGCAAGCTCCTCGCCGAGTACGGTCGCCACGTTCCCTCCAAGCTCAAGCTCAAGCTCAACGAAGACGACAGCGACGACGAAGGCGCCAAGTAGAAACAATTACGTACTAGCTGCCTGTAAACGCAACTCAAATAGCATGTCCAATTGCGCTCGTATACTCTCAAG